CCTTCCATCCTTCCATCCATCCATCCATCCATCCACCCACTCCAGCCATCCATCCATCCTTCCATCCATCCATCCTTCCATCCACCCACCCATCCATCCATCCATCCATCCTTCCTTCCTTCCATCCATCCATCCATCCATCCATCCTTCCATCCTTCCATCCATCCTTCCATCCACCCACCCATCCATCCATCCATCCATCCTTCCATCCATCCATCCATCCATCCATCCATCCATCCATCCATCCATCCATCTTTCCATCCATCCTTCCATCCATCATCCCTGGTCACTCTTTTTTTATTTTTTATTTTTTTATTTTTATTTTTTTTAAATATATTTTATTGATTTTTTACAGAGAGGAAGGGAGAGAGATAGCGATTAAGAGACGTCGATGAGAGAGAAACATCGACCAGCTGCCTCCTGCACATCCCCTACTGGGAATGTGCCCGCAACCCAGGTACATGCCCTTGACCGGAATCGAACCTGGGACCTTTCAGTCCGCAGGCCGACGCTCTATCCACTGAGCCAAACCGGTTTCGGCCACTCTTTTTTTAATATACATATATTTTTATTGATTTCAGAGAGGAAGGGAGAGGGAGAGAGAGAAATATCAATGATGATAATCATTGATTGGCTGCCTCTTGCACGCCCCCTACTGGGGATCAAGCCCGCAGCCCACACATGTGCCCTCGACTGAAATCGAACCTGAGACCCTTCAGTCCGCAGGCCAACGCTTTATCCACTGAGCCAAACCAGCTAGGCGGGTCACTCTTAATGCTGATTAGGAAGGAATGATTTAGAGAGAACATTGAGGGCTAAGGGCTGAAGAAGTAAAACCAGTGAGAGGCGGTCCGGTTGGGAAATGAAATAGTGATTGACTCGATGGAAAATGTAGAGGTCAAGGGAAATAATAGGACAGAATGACTAGTCTGTGCAGTCACACCCAGAGGGGCGCCATCCTATATCCTATATAATAAAACCCTAATATGCAAATTGACCAAACGGGGGAACAACCGGTTGCTATGGCGCGCACTGCCCCTCGAGAGGAAGGCGACGGGTGGGGGTGGAGCTGGCCAGCGGGTGGCACCAGGCCACCAGCCAAGGTGTGTGCCAGCGGGGGCTCCCTATCGCCCTGCCCGCCAGTCACCCCACAGATGGCCCTGATCACCTGCCCGGCCTAGGGACCCGACCCTATCTATTGGGAACAGTCTCTTAGATTTCAAAATTAAGGCCTGGCGAGGCTACTCTAACACTGAAAAAACAGGATGATGCAGCGATGACATGCATGGACTCTGGCTTGCACATTTTGTGGTCAGCCCTGATTCTGACACTTAAAACTGTGTGACAAAGCCAATTACTTAACTTCTCTCTGCTCCAGTTTTTCCACCCATAAGATGGGGAAAATGGTACTACTGCCTCAGAAGGATCACGTTATGTACTGCTTTTTATAATCAGGGCAAAAAAATGTAGTTGCCCATACAACAGCAAGATGCCTTTCACCGGTATGAAAAGTATGGTCACTGGTGCATGCAGCGTCTTGGATTGGGAGAGGGATGTCCGACTGCCGGTTTAGGCCCGACATCCCCTGAGGGGTCCCCAGATTGCAAGAGGATTCAGGCCCGGCTGAGGGACCCCCCGCCCCCACCCACGAATTTCCTGCACCGGGCCTCTGGGAAGAAAGAAGTGGGCAGAAAACACTGTCAGGGTCAAGTTATAGCAAAGAACTGCACTCAGCAGGCATTAGTCACACTGTCGTTTTCTTCTAGTTGAGAAAGCTTCTGGGGGCAGAAAGAATGGGCATGTTTAAGAAATGGTTGCATTCTAAACGTTGATTTAATGCAGATGTGTTTTCCTGTTCACAGGCAAAAGGGGAAACGCCGTTCTGAAAGATCTGAAGGTGGTGAATGATAAAGTCGCATCCCTTGGATTAGGTAACTTGACAGCCAGTTCAGTGTGGAATGCTCGGAGGCGTAAGTGACTGGATGTGGGCAGCCGGCGTGAGCACCTCTGGAGTGCATGCTGGCCTGGCCCGCCGTGCAGGGCGTTCACGCCCACCTCCCGCCAGAATGCAGCCGCACCCGCTGAGCCTGTCGTGGCCTAGGCCTGCAGCTCTCTGACATCCCCTGAGGGGTCCCGGATTGCAAGGGCGCACAGGCCAGGCCGAGGGACCCCACCAGTGCATGATTGGGGCTGGGGAGGGACCGCGAGAGGACTCCAGGGTGTGTCCGGGCCCATCTTGCCCAGTCCTGATCAGCTAGACCCCAGCAGCAAGCTAACCCCGGTTGGAGCGTCTGCCCCCTGGTGGTTAGAGCACGTCATAGCGACTGGTCGAACAAACGGTCGGACACTTAGCATATCAGGCTTTCATTATATAGGATAACGTATCTCTCCCTGAACTTCCCAGGGGCTGGGAGAAGACGATGACTATAGTGATCGACTTCACTAGGTAGTAAAAACAGTTGGACGACGACGCCGTTCGTCAGGCATCGTTCTTGTCACAGGAAAGGGACAGGCTCACACTGGTGCCCTTTAGTGGGCGAGGTCCCTGTTCAGAGTGACGGGGTGGGGGTGGGGGTCGGGGGTGAGCCAGAGCTGCACGTGGCCTGGAGGCCTGGGTAGATTCCACGTCAGGATGTGCGTGTTCAGGAAACTCAGGAGAATGAATGGAAGTAGCTGAAGAACTGCGTCCAGCACCAGGCCTCCCTAGGGTGAGGGCCCTCCCCTCCTCCCCTCCCCCTCTCCTCTCCCTTCATCTCCACTCCCCCTCCACCCTCCTGGCCTCGTGGGAACCGCCCACATCTACCTGAAACCCGTGGCCCTCACATGATCTTTCTGACTCGGGTGGCGTGTACATGGGCTAACAGGAGTTGGTCAGTCATTCATCTGGACGTGCATTTGCTGTGGATATGATGAGAAATTTTAAATCAGAGGCTGCGAGTGTCATGTACTCGGCAGAGTCTTCTCTCCCAGGGAGAAGTTATGTCTGTAACTGAACGATGGGTGAGGTTTGGGGTTGCTTTTTTGAGAGGCAGCTTGGACCTTACTTTTCTCGTCTGTCCAGTTGACTGGCCCTGCTGCCTCGCAAGTGTTTTTTTTTTTTTAATATATTTTATTGATTTTCTACAGAGAGGAAGGGAGAGGGATAGAGAGTTAGAAACATCGATCAGCTGCCTCCTGCACACCCCCTACTGGGGATGTGCCTGCAACCAAGGTACATGCCCTTGACCGAATCGAACCTGGGACCCTTGAGTCCGCAGGCGACGCTCTATCCACTGAGCCAAACCGGTTAGGGCTCGAAAGTGGTTTTAAGGGTCAAGTAGATTGTGTATGAAGCTGATAGGATGTGATATTTTATTTAAGGGTTAAAGTAAGTATTGAAGGAGGCTGAGGCAGTGGTTACCTTCACTGTCCTTCCTTCCCCGAATTAGCACCAGCCATCGCTCAGAGAGAAGCGAGCTGAGCATCGGCGAGAAGATCGAAGGAAGGACCTTGTCAGCGGAGCTGGACGAGGCCAACACCAGCGACAAGGTCAGGCAGAGCGTGGAGGCGCGGGCCTGGGGCTGCCTCGGTTCATGTGCAGCTCTAGGCACTTACACAGACGAGGGAAACAGCTGAAAATGGTGGGAAATCGATGGCAGGTTGACCTGGTTCAAGTCTGGAAAGAATCTTTAGTGAGGATGTGAGATGGTTTCCGCTGTCACTCCCTCTGTAACTGATGAGGTGCTTTGGCGGTTCGGTGTTACCGGGCCTCACTGCTGGGGTCTCAGTGGCCCAGGGGTCAGGGCTGGGTCGGACCGACCCTTGGGGTGTGGGCAGTCGGTGCAGGAGGAGCCGTGCTCAGAGAGGACACCACGCAGGTTGGTGCGAGCGAGCCTGTGAGAGCAGGGGGCGCAGCTGGGGCTGCCTGTGGTGTCAGGCTCTGCACAGCAGGGCGGGGGCCACACACCCAGGGGAGATGGCGCAGCGGAAGTGGAGCCGGGGGTAGAACTGGGGGTCTGCATTGGGTTCCACATTGAGCCTTCGATTCGGCAGAGGGCAGGATGCACTTAGATGTGTGAGGTGGCGTCTCGGGATCGCATGTTGGTGCCAAGAGAGCTGCGGGGCGTCTCTCGTGAGCCTGCCTTCCCCACGAGCATGCCGTCTGAGCGCCGTGACCTTCGCCCTCTGAGCGCCGTGACCTTTGCGGAGGAGTGCAGCGGGAGGTCTTGGGGCGAGGGAGGCAGCATTTGCAGTGAAGACAACACTTCTGCACCGCAAACCTGGGCTTGCGCTCGCCCTGCCTGCCCTGCTTTCTCAGCGAGCTCTCGGGCCGTTCACCTGTCAGCTCAGCGCCTGTGCGTGCGCACGGGTTTCAGAGCAGGAGGAAGGGCGGGCGAGGGGGCTGCTGGGCCGCAGTGGGGGCCCGAGGTGATCTCGCGGTGCAGCACTGTGTTTAAAGAGATCTGAGACTGCGCGCTGACTGACACTCATCTGTCCTCTGTCTAACAACAGCTCGACGACCTGACGCAGGACCTGACCCTGTCGCAGCTCAGCAACGTCGCCGACTACCTGGAAGACGTCGCCTTCACCTGAGGGAGGAGCGTCGCCACCGCCGAGGACAGACGGAGTCTCCCACCACCTCCGTCTCCCAGGCCGTCCTGGCTGGAGTCTGCTCTGCTGGTGCCTTGTGTTTCAGAACGACTGCAGAGATTTTTAAAAATTACTTTTCATTACACTAAACAGAACCCTCCCTCAGAGCCCACCGGTGGGAGATTTCGGTCTTAATCTGGTTACCTGCCCGTTTCACTCAGAAATGAATTCTGCTCAGATGCCTGACAGGAGCGCACCGTGAACATAGCAGCGTTAGAGCAAAGCGAAGGTGTCAGTAATGCTGCAGGCCCCGGGCTCGCGGGCACGCGTGGCCTTGGTCCTCTAGGTCCCGCCTGGTTGGTGCGGGCCGGGCTGCAGTCGTGGCAGAAGGATCGGCCGCCAGAGCCCAGCCCTGGGTGAGACGCTTCCGTCCGGGAGGTGCTGTGGCAGTGCTCGGGGTGCTGCTAGCTCTTCCTCCTAAAGAGCGGGGTGGGGGGGTTCGTTGGTGCGGCTGTCATGGCGGCGGCGCGTCGCTGCTGTGTCCACGCGAGAAGCCATCCTCGCAGGCCCCTGAGAGCTGTTACCCTCTGTGACCCCGTCTTGAAACTTTAAATTCCAAGGCACATCTGGACCAGCGGCGGTGCTTCCGTCGGGCCTGTGCGTGACTGGGGTCCAGATGGGATGGAGCAGGAGCGACGGCTCAGACGTGTCCAGGGGCAGCTTCCTGCTGCCGTTCCACCGTCACCTTAGTGTTTACAGGGGCCACTGAGGCCCACGGTACTGACTGTGGCACGGTTGGGAGTGACGCGTGCCTGTTCGCATAACTATAAGTGAAGCTGTGATAGCATGGTCAGTTTTGTACTTTTTTATTTCAATTAAATGATGGCTTTTACTAAAAGTCACCTTTACCAGTAAGAGGAGAAATTAATTCATTGACCTCAGTAGGGGCAGACTCGATGGTCAGTGTGTGCTGCTCTCCTTTTATCTCAGCCTCACGGTCACAGGAACACTGCGGCCCTGACGTGGAAGGGAGTGGTAGCGTGAGGATCAGGTTGTAGAACATGGGAATTTGCATCTGTAAATTCAGGTGACACTGAGCCATAAACGCCAGCAGGAGCTAGGACAGCACACGGGCCGGCAGCCTGGACGCGCTGTCCCGCCCTCTGAGTGTGGGGCTGTCGCTGGCGGCCTGGTGCCGCCGCTGGTGCGCTTCCCATGTCTGTGCCGTGGCTGCGAAGCTTCCATCTGTCCGCCCTCAGGAACCAGGCAGCCGTGTGACTTGTTAGTTCCGTGCTTGGTGGGAGCTGGACGTCGTGGCATGGAAGGGCCGCAGGGGATGGCTTTTACCTTGGGAGGACCATTTGGACAGTGGACCTGAAATGTGTCCCTGTGACCAGAGAGTCGGACCTTCAGTCATCTCGGGGGGATGGAGAGATAATGCCAAACACGGAACTGCTTTCTCATCAGCCTCCATTGTAAATACTCCGCTGTGAAAAGTGTTATTTCCATGTGTGTGCTTCGATGGGACAGGGTTTGAGTGTGCTTAGTGTGCGTGTGTTAGGTGCATATTGAAATACCCGGTGAAATACGTCTTCATGGTAAAACCTGTGTTTTACAGGGGGGTTTTCCAAATGCTAGCTCTCATTTCATTGGCGGTGACACGAGTGAATAAAAAGCTCGCATCTTTCATACTTTGTGTTGTGTGCCAGTCTCCATGTCGTCTGGGCCCCTCCTGGCTCCCCCGCAGCCCCAGCACCCGGCCTGTTGGGCGTGCCCGTCCCCCAGAACTGTGCCCCCCAGAACCCTGCCCGGCTGGCTCCTTTCCCTCTTGTTCTCAGAAGCTCTGGCCTGGAGGGGTTTCCTCCCAGCCTGCCCGTCACGGGTCCCCGTGTACCGTACTCCCCTGGCCCCTGTCTTACGGGGCTGTTTCTGGCCAGAAGCTCCATTGGCGCGGGGGCGGTTCTGGACCCCTGGTGGTTGAATAGCATCCCCCACATCCGCCCAGCAGGCTCTAAGCCAGCGGTTCTCAACCTGTGGGTCGCGATCCCTGAAAATACATCCTGCATATCAGATATTTACATTACGATTCACAACAGTAGCAAAATTACAGTTATGAAGTAGCATCGAAAATAATTTTATGGTTGGGGGTCACCACCACATGAGGAACTGTATTAAAGGGTCGAGGCATTAGGCAGGTTGAGAGTCTAAGAAGCGCTGGCTGGGGCCTGGGGCAGCTGTCCTCACCCTGACCCGAGACCGGGCTTGCGGTTCAGTGAAGGGCCCACCAGGCAGGTTGGAACATTGCTCTCAAGGGAAGTGGACAGTTGTCCTGTCCATGGCGTGGAGGCTGCTGGCCCAGGACAAGCAGATGGGACTCGAGGCAGCTGGACTGACCAATTGGACAGGAAAGGGGATCAAGGAAGGGCCGCCGAGCCACACAGACCCCCAGCTGGGCGCCGGGGTCCCAACTGCACCTGCGTGTGCACAGCCCCGGGATCCAGCGGCAGCTTCCGTTCTGGGGAAACTGGTGGAAACGAGGGAGGCTCCTTTGGAGTCATCCTCGCGGCTCCCAGAGCCAGGAGCACGGCCCGGCCACTAGGGAGGTGAGCAGCGGCTGCCAGGCCTCTGAACCTGGTGGAGAGGGTCCACCACCAAAAAGGCGATGCTGAGATGACCCTGGATGCCCAGGACCAGTGGGATCCCGAGCAGTGAGCCAAGGCCATGCCCAGGGAGCCGCCCAGCAGGGCGTGCGGGCGGGGACACGAGGGAACCTGCGGGACGGGCACTGACGGGGCCTCCCCACGCTGCCGACGCGGTGCAGCTGGAAGGAGGGTCCCCGCGCCTGACCCCGGGACCGAGGGGCCGGCCTGTCCTGGGCGAACCGCACACCCAGGAAATGGTCACGATTTTCCCCAACAGGGAGAGTGGGGACCTGGCTGCGCTTGGATGTGTGGGAAGGAGGAGACTGGATCGGTTTCCCATGAGTTTCTGTTCCTCCTCCGAGGCCCCACTCATGTGTCACTTCCCTAAAGTCTTAGCGTAACCATCTCAGATCTGCTTCCTCCCCGGTCCCTCTGCCCGTGCTGAGCCAGGACCCCACCCCTGCTCCCCAGCACCCACGGGGCGACGTGAAAGCCACGCACTGTGAGAGAGCAGGGTGCACCGGGAGGCTTACACTGAATTGGAATTCAGCTCCCGAAATGCATGGTCACTCTCTTCCCAGGAGAACAGGATAAGTCACCTGTGCAGGGCACTGCAGGCCGGGCGTCCACGGTGAGTGGTGAAGTGCACAGGTCAACAGTTTGGGGTTATTCCCAGAGTTGTGCCATTGTCATCGCCACCCATCTTCATCCCAGAAAAGAACCTCATACGCATCGCAGTTGCTCCCCGTTTTCCACTCCATCCCCCTCTTCCCCAACACAGTGCTTCTTGTCGCTACAGACTAGCCAGTACTGGACTTTGCTTATACTGAATTATACAACACTAGAGCCTGGTGCACGAATTCATGCACCAATGGGGTCCCTCGGCCTGGCCTGCGGATTGGGCCGAAACCGGCTTTCCAACATTCCCTGAGGGGTCCTGGATTGTGAGAGGATGCAGGCCAGGCCAAAGAACCCCACTGGTGCACGATCGGGGCTGGGGAATGGCCGCAGGAGGGCTCTAGGGTGTATCCAGCCCGTCTCACTCAGTCCCAATCTGCCGGACCCCAGCAGCAAGCTAACCTACTGGTTGGAGTGCCTGCCCCTGGTAGTCAGTGCACATCATAGCGAGCAGTTGAGCAGCCTTAGCATATCATTAGCATATTACACTTTGATTGGTTGAACAGAGGACCAGACACTTAGCATATTAGGCTTTTATTATATAGGACTAGTAGCCCAGTGCACGAAATTCGTGCACTGGGGTGGGGGGAAGGAGGGGCCCCTCAGTCTGGCCTCACCCTCTCCAATCCGGGACCGCTCGGGGAATGTCCGACTGCCTGTTTTTGCCCACACTTTTAACAGATGACAGCTCCATTGTTGTTTCTTTCTTCTCATGCTTAAAACCATTGGAATTAGTAGGTATTCAAAGTGTGTATACATTTTGGGGTGACACCTTGAATATCTCTAGTCAGCGGTGAAAGGAACCAACAGCGCGTTTGGAACCCCCAGACAGGGAACCTCGCTCACTCCCCACATGTCTCCCCAATTCATTTTCCACCTTCGCGGGCAGCAGGAGAATCAATGTTTTCTCTCATTAATTCGGAAAAGCATGTCCTGTCACCCGCTGCCCGGCAGGAGTGCGCTAGGCCCCAAGCGAGCGAGGCTCAGTCAGGGCAGCCTTCGCTCATGGGTGCCAGCACCCAAAGTGCACATCCCTCCTCTGCAGTCGCCCCGACTATCCCACCGTTTCACTGAGAGGATGGAACTCCTCGCTGCCTCTGGGTTCCTGATCTTGAACGCTGACCGAAGGCACCTCAGCAAGAGCCACCTGCGCCCACCAGGTGTGTCTATCTGCACCTGCTCCTGCCTCAGCACCTGCATTAACCCCCAGAGGTGATCTCGTAGCTGCACTGGCCTCCATGGGAACAGGGCATCACCACTCCACCCTCTCACTGTCATCTCACAGGTGCCTACCCTCAGCACTCAGAACACCCAGACACTCTCCAAAGGACGTGAGCGTGTCAGAGGGAACATGTGCACATCCTGTGGGGGACTTAGGCATGCTGGGGTTGATGGAAGTGTGGTGGAGGGGCGGGGAAAACTTGTGCGTGCCTTGGTCCAGGACTGTTGCAGGCGCGTGAGGGTGACAGCACGCTGGGGGATGTTCGCACGCCAGGGGGGAGGAGAGGATGTGCGCACTGGAGGCCTGTGACTTCAAAGATCCACAACCCCCCATGGCAGGGCCAGGAGGACATCAGTCTGGCCTGCCACGGTGGCTGTCCCTGCGACCCTGCACCTTCTGGGCCAGGAGGTGGGACTTGTGCAGCCACTCCTTGGCGCTGATGGCCTGCAGGTGCTACTTCAGCTTGGCCCGCAGGCTCCACTTGGCGCGCTCACGGCTGCCACCGCAGCCATGTGGGGAGTACAGGCTGCCCTCCGCCAGCCCGCCTCCCCTGCCCAGAGGATCTCCGCACGCTGCCCTCAGGCCCGGAGCGGCCTGGGCGGGGCGGGATGCCAGCATGCGCTGCTCACCTGCCCGGAGTAACCGGGGCGGGGCGGAAGCCAGGTGTCCTGCCCCGCCCCAGCCACTCCTTGCCTCCACTCGCTGCGCACAGGCCTGGAGCAGCCAGGGCTGGGCGGAAGCCAGGCGTCCTGGCCCACCCAACCCTGGCCGCTCTGCCTCTGTGCGCGCTGCCCACCAGCCCGGATCGGCTGGGGTGGGGCGGTGCGGGACGCCTGCCCCCACAGCTCAGGACCTGTGCACATGCACGCTGCCCACAGGCTCGCCATCTTTGTCGGGTTAATTTGCATATCACTCTGATTGGCTGGTGGGTGTGACTGTGGGCGTGGCTTGAGCATAGCAGAGGGATGACTAATTTGCATGTTTCTCTTTTATTATATAGGATGTAACAATGTTGCCTTTCACGACTGGCTTCTTTCACTGAACACAGTGTTTTCTAGGTTAGTCCATATCGTAGCATCTCTCCTGACCCATTTCTTTTTGTTGCTACATAGTATCCCCCAGTGT